AAAAACCAAGCATCAGAAATCAGAATAATGGCTGCCTTTGGCTTTGTCAATAAATTATTGTTAGAATTCTGTGGCCAATAAACGCAACGCAACGCACAAGTGCAACACTGTCTCTGGCCGCAATTGCTAGAATGTCTGCACATGAAACTGTCTGTGGGCACACAGATTCGATCTCTGATTTTATAGCATCGATCACTTCAAATCCCCTCAGTGAGTTCACGTTTGGAGCTGCAGTTTTTTCGCCCACAAAGTTCTCATTGTCATCCAGCAACACCGAAGCGTCGCATCCCTGTATCAAGTAATAAACCTAACTCAACCATCATCGTCATAAGAGCTATCTATGAAAAAGAATGGTAAGAAACCAAAGACTTTCATTGACAAAGCAGTCGTGGAAGTGGAGGCGTAATAGAGATGCTGCCATTCGGGGGTCCTCTGTGATCGCCGTTTGGACCCAAGAGAAGATGATGGCTTCTGCCTCTGGGCAGGCAGGGGGCGTGCCAAACGGTGGCTGGTTTTCATACCCTCCTCCATAGGACGCTTGCATGTTCGCAGACACGATTGCAATAAGCTCAAACATTATTAGACAAAGATGGGAAGTCGGATACTTGGCCATTCTTGTAGTCTAACACCCAATGAAATGGAGGTGATAAGGGCAATGGCCAAGTTCTCTTATATATATGTGTATACAGTAGGATATAAATCAACCGCTGCGTAACAAGTGCGAGTTATTTGTTACAGAATGACGAAGCAGGCAATTGACCGGGCTAATAGTCGGGAGAAATTATTTGAGGAGTCGTAGCAATACGAATTACGAGTATGTAATGAAAAGTAAGTGAAGATGGTTAATTTATCATTTATTTAGACAGTGATAAAATGGGTTCGTTCAGCACAAAATGTTAGTTGAGAGCTTTGAAGGCATGGAAAACTTAATTAGTTTGTACTTGAGAAATGCAAAGGGGAATTGGTGAGGAAATGGTGTAGCAGTTGCGGACCATTTCAATTTTGAAAGCTGTGTTTTATTGCAGCTGGCTTTGCACATAACCACTTCAATTAACGGTCCAACGACTCCACCACCTGCTTCCTCGGCTTTTGTAAATTAAAGCCTTGTTGGGCTTTTTTTACTTTCTCAATCTTCAATACATGTCATTGTCCACCATTTTCTTCTATGAGCAAACAAAATCTCGAATGAGAGTGATTCATAGTATATAAGAAAGGACAATTATCTTCATTGGTATCAAAGCCGTGAGAATTATGCCCAAAACGGCACCTTCTCCTCAACAATATTTTCCCTCTTTTTGTTTGGCTAATGTTTCCTTCTCCCTTTCTGCCTCCTTTTTGATCCATCTCATTCCTATTTAACACAATCCTAAATTCCCCCAATTCTCAACTGCCTTTCTCGAGCTCGGGTTAGTTCTCTGTGCTAATTAAGAAAAAATATTCCTATCTAGGTTTAATGATTTAGTGAAAAAGTCTTTTAACGAACTCTAGAAGAATTATAAATCTAACTAGTCTTAAAACTCTTTAAGTTATATGTTTCTCGGTTTTGATTCTAAATCACCTCTTAAGATTTCAAGCCTATGATCAATTAATCTATGACCGGATCAAAAACACGAAGTATGGAGAAACATAAATAAAACATTCAAAATCATTCATTCAAGAGAACTTAACAATCAATCTATATAGTTGTGTGACTACATCAATCTCTATGAAACAAGAAATTTATTTTACTCATCATCGAAAATAAACTAATAAACCGTGAAAATAGATTCTACAAAAAAAAGTATAAAAAGTCTAGGAAAATGAGAAGAAACTATATAAGTTTGGCTTGTCAATCGTACGTCCCCGAAAAACGGTGCAGACAAACCCTATGCGTATTATAACAAAAATCGTGACAGCGTTGAAACACTCTAAGCAGTGTTGAGACACAGACAAAATTGGCAATGGCGCTTTAGTTTGTTACGTTGAGATGACGCTATGGACAATATGTGGATGTTATCTCCTTGGGTCCTGGGCTTCAATATCGGCTCTTGCAGCTCCTTTGATTCTCAATATATTGGTCCAAAGTGTCTTAGTTTTCTTGATATAAATCTCTTTAATTCCTCAAGTTTCTTTGAATTTCTGTTTCCCTTGTACACGAAAATAGTCTTAATATTACATTTAAGCTATAAAATAGCCCACGATAATTGTGCTTTAATTTCAAAGATTACATAAGAATAATAGAGAAATATAATGTGTGTCATGATATCTCTCTCTAATTAGTAATGGTGCACTGGTGGGACTTGCATTATTATGCAACGTGATTAATTATTTTTAATCCTTCTTTCTCCTCTCCTCTACTCCTTCCATTTTGAGAATTAAGGTCTCAGACAATTTTATATTTATAATGTTTGCGAGCTGGATTTACATTTCGTGATTTTAACTTAGCTAGAATCACTCTTAGTCATGTCAAAATCGATTCCATTTTAAAATAGAATGTTTGACAACGATTCGTGAGTGATTTAATCACTCAAATAATGATTTCCGAGGGTGTATCTCTAAGGAATTGCTTACCAAAAAATTAATAGAAAATTAGTTGTTAAAACGATTATTGTTTTAATTTTAAAAATTATCTTTCTATATATTCACTTTATTTTCATCTTAAATCTTTGATTTTTCTTTTCTCTCTTCTAACATTTTTATCCCTCTGTAACTTTATTTATCTTTAATTTTGTGTGTATTCTCTCTATTTAAAAAAAAAAAAGATTTGTAATCCCTCTTTAAATTTTTAGTTTCTAAATCTTTCCTAAGTTTATTTTTATGTCTAAAATTGTTGTCTCACTAATAAGATTTTTGTCTCTCTCTTTTTCGTCTTAAATTTTTTTGTTAAATTCTCTCTTCATCTTTTTTAATTATATAAAAATCACTGGAAAGAAAAGTGTAATCCAACATTAAAATAATTATATCAAAATCATTTTCATAAAACCAATTATATCATAAAATCTCTTTTACTGAAATAACTCCTAAAATCATTTCCAAATGACCCTGAAAAACCATTCTCACATTTTAATATCTGAATATATATCAAAATGAAGGAAAAAAAGAGCCCTAGCCGACCTGTTTTGTAAAATATTATTTTTCCATCATGTTGGGAGGAGATTCAAACTCACGACCGGTTTGGGGTATATGCCAATTACCGCTGAGCTATACTCGCTTTAACGAAAATATCTTCCATTAATAAAGATAATTAGTAAACCTAAATGTACTTAGCCACTAACCTCTATTTAGTTTCAAATACTTCAATCCAATAAACCCTATTCATCGCCACCTCAAACAAATCCCGAAAACAAACATCAAAATTGATCACTAGTAGAAAATGGGGGGTTTAGTAACATTTATAAGCAACGAAAGTATTTTAGTTGCATATATATGCGACGAAAACACGTTAACGTATAATTCTTGGAGTTGTTCATCTACATACTACGTATGAAACCCAAAACAGAAACCAAAACCATATATTTATGCAATTATTTTACTTATATACTTTAATGTTGAATATTTTATTTAACTCAAGTTTTTCTTTGTAGAGGTGATTTAAAAAATGGTCTTATTTGTCTTTTCTTTTACCCGGATAATAAATAAAGTACAACTAGCTAAAGAAGCTAAATTGTATCAATAGAGTTAGCATTATAGAGAGACATATCCAATGTTTCAGAACATAAAATGGCAATAAATTCACATCGAAATTCAACTCAAGTGAAAAAAGTTTCTCAATATATAACTATGGATCCATTTAAGAAGGGCTTGTAACTTTGAAACCATTAATTAAGATGCATTTAAAGATGTTACATACAAAAAAAGGTTAGCTATATATATAGATATAGCCCTAAACTTGGGAGATTCGAATTGTGAAAGCAGAAAGAAGGAGTGGGAAATTGGGAAATCGAAGCCGAGTAATTGCAAAATGGAGATGGGAAAAAAGGCATATTAAAGAGAAGATCAGGAATAAAGCAGAGTGTCAATGTCAAAGAAAATGCAGAATTTGGGAAGAAAATTTGGATGCATTTAATTTCTTTTTACCACCACTCCCCATTCCCCACTCCCATTCTCTTAGGTTTCCTCCCACACTAAAAACTAGGATAACCCTTCAACTTACCATTCCAAAATAGGCTTTTTGCAAATTCTCCAAAATCGAGCCACCAATTTCTCGAGGATATAAAGATTTTAGCTTCGTCTTGGTCCTCCAAATCTAACATCTTTTGTAATTACGATATCTCGAGCGCTCTGGTCGGTATCTTTTACGGGAAAAAAAACCTTCCCATTCCAAAATATAACTCTTCAACCCTACAATCCACTTTTTAAGGCACACAACAACTCCAAAAGCAAACCCTATGCCCCTCTACACAGCACCTTCCCATTGCGTTACGTATTGGGTTTTAAAACCCTAACCCTAAACCCTAATAAAACCATATATATGATGGTTGTATATAATTTTCAATAAAAGGAAAGACAAAAAAAAAGGCAACTTTTTTCTTCTTTTTCTTTTACAGGGAAATTTAATTGAAAACCCAACATCTCCAAAACCCCAACCAGCTACAGAAAATTAAGTAATTGTCACCTCCAATAGAAATAGAATTAGGCTTCAAAAAAATAAAAATAAAACCTAATTAATTTATATAATTTATACAGTGATGGGATTGTGCGATGGATGAAGATGATATTACGGTGAAAAGGCGATGAATAATAATAATCGTGTTAGAGTATATACGGCCACGTACCAGAAACAAAAAAACCACAAATCGGCCGTAATTAATTTGATGATCTACTCTTGTT